CAAATAGAATGAAAACAAAATTTTTAAAAGAGAAAATTCCAGGTGATATTTGATCAGGTATTAAAATATTACACACAATTCAGATTGCGCACGTATAAATTTTATCTGGCTTCTAAAGTTTTTCTGATTTCCTCATTAGAATTTCACAATATTTGTGGAGAAACCATCAAATTCAAGAGGTGATCAGAATTTCACATTCCTAGACTAACATTAAATGTTGTTCCATTGACCCCCTTGACTGTCATCTTCTATGTCATCTATATCAATACAACGATATAAATCCTCCTCATCATCTTTACTTCTTCTGCAACAAGACCTTAGGTTAGCTGCAATATGACCTGTCTTTTCTGGCTCTTTATTACCAGAATAGCAATACCATTTTGCTTTTTTTGGTTTGTGTAAACTTGAAGGTGACAGGCACACATGCATGTCAAGAATCCTTCACTGTCATTTGCAAATAGTTGTCACATTTTACATGTGTTATGATGGCGTTGTTTTACATGCCATTTAAGAACTTTCTTTAAAGTGCTGACGTACTCCACCATGACATTTGCATTAACTTTCTTGGTTTGAACACATTCATTCATTATGTCATTTCTGAAGCCAAATGTCTTTTACTATTAGCCAAGCTCCATTTTGGGGAGCTCACTGCCAGAATAACAATCATCTCTTGCAGAGGATTATGAAAAAGATAGAGGGAAGACTGTGAAACTACTCCTACGGTGTTGATGTTTCTGTCAATCATACCATTTTTCCCTAAAATTTTTGAAAAGTTCCTCTATTTCATCATGAAACTCACTGTTTACAAAGATTCAAGGATAAGGCCAGATCTTCTGTTGAGGGCCTGTAAAACAGACTATTCTGATATTGATGAGTAATTCAACCAAAGCTTCCACATTCCTTTTCCTAAAATTACCCCTCTCCTGTGCCTGAGGGGTCTCCATCCTCGGTCCAGCCTTCACAGCTTCTGCAGGGTACGGCTAGCTCCTCCAGACATTATGCATCACCAAGCAGTGGCAACAGGAGGAGCAGTGGCACCCAGAGGGTGCAGGGCAATCACCACGCAAGCACAGAGGGACGAGTGTGGGGTGGTGCCCAGGACAGGGACTCCGGGGCTCCCCTGTGGCCCTCTTCTCTCTCTACCAACTCTACTGTAGGAAGGAAGCTCTGTTTTGAAGGGAAAAAAATAAATCTACCATCTAAGAGATTAAACTAAAATCAAAAGGGTCTTATTTCACTGTTTTTTTTTTTTTCATGTCAGTACAGGGTATAATATTCTAAATCAGAAGAAAGAATCCCTCAGGAGTTTCACACCTGCTCTCTGCCAAGACTTAGACTGCCACTCACTTGCAGTTGGAAAGGTAAGCATGGCACACTATGATCAGGAGGAATTAAAATGTGATAATAACTCATCCAATGGCCAAGCAAAACTGCTCTGAAGAGGATCTGCCTTTGGTTCACACAGGGTACTGCTCAAAAGGAGGAAACAGTGCTAAAGACCTATAAACATGCAGGGCCAGTTCTCAAACACTGTGACTCTGAACGTTAAAACTCATGAGTCACCACTATGAGGACCAGGCCAAGGAAGGCCACCCTTTCAAAGCAACGAAACTGATGGATTTCAAGTGAAAATGGAAACTGATACCACAGCTGAAAAGCCACAGACACCTGTGTGTTCCCTGCTTAGCTGCTCATTTTCATTTCACAGTCACAGTTACTTCCCACAGTGGTTTACAAATTAAGGCATTGTCTAATGAGTTATTAATGGAGAGAAACAAGCAGCTAAATCGGAAATATTAATGAGTGACTTCCAAGAAGAATTCTTTGCAACAACAATATAAAATCAATGACAATGAACTTGGATGAGGGACTCCATGCACTGTTCCCCAGTAGGGCCTCTCCTGTCCTGGTGCAGTGAGGGGTCAGCATATGGTTAACTAATGACTAAGGTGGCTCATCCATAGGTCTGCACAGCACTGCACCTTCAATCCCAGCAGAAACAAAGACTGCTGTTCTTTCTTTCATGAAGGTCTCTGTTTCTAAGAGGCTTGAAAGCTGGGCCTGATGCTTGACATAATTTGACACTAATCATTTTACTGGAATGTTTATGACAAATTGAACAAAAGAATAGATAGCATGTCCCAAATCCCTAACCAGTGCTACTATACATAACAAAAATATAGGACCACAGGGGGCATCTTATTTGAGTGGCTGCAGGCATGTGTATGGGGGTAGGGTGCTGTCCTTGTAGGTGTAGCCCTCTTTGGCTTTGGAGAGACCACCTGGGGTAGTGATCTGCTGCTTGTGTGCACCCCAAAATCTTTCTGCACCCCTCTCCAACAGGTAGGCTTTTGTGTGTGTGCCCGATGCAGATGTCCTTGGCAGGAAGGGAAACTGTCCGGCTCTGGAGAGATTTACATGATTTGAGCTCAACAGCCCCCCTCCCATTCTCCCCTGCTGTGTTCCACTAGGCCCGGATCTGGAAAAGCATTCCCAGTACCAGGTGCACAGGTTTCCAGAAACAACCAGCAAAAGGTTTCAGAGGGACAGAAACGGCCTCACGTGTTCCCAGTCCCGGCAGGCCAGATGCTGCTCTCTGTACATCTGGCTTCCTTTCTTGATGGTGAGTCAAGATGTGCAGCACAGAGACCAACTCTAGTGGATTACTCCAGAGAGGGCTACTGGTCCCTGATTTACTCACTGCACCGCAGTGACACCATTTTCCAATCTTTTCAGAGGCACCAGAGAAGAGAGCAATATCACAGGAAACAAAGAAGTTAGGAAGACAGGAACTCTAAGAAGCATATAGTTAAATTTCTTATAACATTCAAAAGCACTGGCGTAAAGCATGCATTAGCTATGTCAGTGATCCCAGTGGAGCCATTATCTTTATAACCTCCTATACCCACCCAGCACAGTGTACAGCGTTGAGGTGTGCAGTAATATGCCCCAGAAATGCTGAAATTTAATAAACGCCTGAGCTGAACATCATTGAAAAGGATTCTAAGATATCATTGTGCTAGATGAGACAACACTAAATAGTTTTGTGACAACATAAATTATGGAAGTGCACAAGATCCAGCGGCTAATCTATTGCCATTTCACAGATGGGAAAACTGAGGAAAAGAGAGTGAACGTTAAGCTGACCCTTATTTGAAAGTACCAACAGACCTCCCACTGCCTCTTCTTGGTATTTTTCTGAACTATGTTCTCCTGTTTCGAAGCTCAATGCTCTTAAAAGTGAAGGGGGGCTTCACAGGCTTGGGGTCTAGCAGGCCTCCCGTGAGAATATTAAACGTGGACTATAAATGGATTGCTGTGTTGGAAAACGGTCTAGGGAGGGTGAGAGGCCATTACAATGCCCTCTCCTACAGAATCCAACACAGCCAACAGGAACTGGAAGGTGGGAGAGGAAATAGAAGACTGGAAATTAAGATGGGAGAGGAAAAAGAAAGTCAATCAAATGGGAGAGAGAGAGTCACGATGGTCCCCAGCCATGCCTTCTCCACTTTCATGGCAGCAGTGTTATATCTGCTATCAGCATCACTCCAGGATACTGACATTTCTATTCCACAGAGTCCTCATCACCATGCCTGGTAGTGCTGGACTTTCCCCATTCAAACACTCATCCTCTCCCACCCTCCTTCACAGAGCTCACAATCCCAGGCAGAGAATGTCAAGAAACAACAAAATACAGGATGCACATGCGCACGATGCCTCACGAAACAAAACCAGCCTCTGGTTGGCTCTATCTTAATATAAAACCTTAAGAAAAACAAAAATCAGGTCGGTGCAAATCAACATACTAAACAGAACTTTCACTGAAATCTCGGTCACTGTCACAGAGGAGGGGAGAGGAAGAGACACTTATAGCATAGCTTATTTCCAAAATTCTTGACTGTCTGCAAGAATCTGTAAGGGCCAGAAGAGTGATTTTATAGAGAAAGCTATCCTCTCATCTAAAACATGCTGGTTAAACTGGAGATTCACCAATCAGTACATCCAAGCTATTCAGGAGGGCCCTGAGGAAGCAATCTTTGGTAACTTGGAACTCTAGCTGGTCACACGCAAGTGGCTTCTGCAGAAAATGAACAAGATCCCTTCCTTCCATGCTATGGTTTCCTCAAGAAGATTCCTTGTAGTTTACATTTTAGATTTGCTTAAAATGTTTTCTCCAAAAGTGAAAAAGAAGATCACTCTTGTGCTTGAATGTACCTTCTGACTTTCAATACCCTCTTGGAAGCAAGCTGGAAAGACTAGATAACTCTGATTTCTCCCCAAATGCTGCCATTTCCTGCTCTAATCATCCTTACACTACTCGCTCAACCACAGAGGACAGAAAAAAGCGAGGGCAAATAAATAGAATATATAGGAACAAAATGCACGGCTGCTTCAGAGAAATGAAGGGCTTCTGCATCAAGCATGTCCTGCCCGGGAGTCTGGCACTGTGCTGCTGCGATCAGAAACACGTGGTGGCTTTGAGAATGAGGGAACTCCACTGACGATATCCTCCAAAGGCCTCTGATGACCGAAACTGCAAAGTGGGCACCTGTCAGAGGGCACTGGAACACGGCTTATGATGCTCACATAGCACTGTTCCACTCTCCCACAGAGAACATGATGCAGGACAATGACAAAGTACACATGTTTTCCCAAGGGGAAAACAAAACTCTACATGCTCAAGATGACAAAATAATTGATTTTAACACAATTTGATAGTTGGCTAAACACTGAACAACCACAACAGACTAAGCCTTGTCTTTTTTTTCTTTTTAGCAGCATTGCAGCACAAAAACCAGGAAAGTGTATTTTAATGCACAATTCCCTGCCCTAACTCAAGCCGTCTTCCCACAGTTTCTAAGTAGAAATTGAAAGTCTTCTCCACTAGAATTCATCTCTTCTGTTTTAAACATTTCTTATAAGACAGTAAGCAGACACTTGCTCAGCAATTTTATTTTTGAAATGATGTTTTAGATGAATGAATATGAAAATATGCTTACCTCATCCCATTCTAAAAGGTAGTTGGTGATTTTTGAACCATTGTCAATGGGTGCCTTAAAAAAAATAGAATGAGTTAGGAAAAGCTGTTCACAGGTCAAACTTATGTGATCAACCTCACTTAAATATGACATGTACTGTAGCTCTATGGTTGCTTTTCTGGGAGTTCAGCATCAGCTCCCATGTATCTCGGTCAAACAACATCACACAATGACGTTAACATGACTGAATTGCAGAGACAGTCCTTGCTATGGACAAATCACATCCACAAACAGCCAAACCCACCCATCCCAACACCACAATTTTTACTCCTGTGCATTGCTCTAGTTCCTTTCAGTAGATGAAACTCTTGAGGGATTCTTTATAGTCAAGGAAGAGGGAAGGACTCTGAGAGATACTCTCATTTCTGGGGGTTCTGAGTGGAAGGGGAGAGGTAGGATGCTGACAAATCTGTATTTTTATGACTTGCCCCAGACAGCTTAAAAAAAAAATGCTTAACATCAGAAAGCCATCTATGACAGTAAGAATCTCCTCCAAGTTTAAAAAACAAACAAAGAAAATACTCCAGACAGATTTAAAAAGATCATCAGCCCTTCACATTTTAGCAAAAAGTTTTCATCATTTGGTTTCTTCACAAAACATGCCACCATGCATTGCACTGCGCAAACAGGTTCTGAACCACAGAGCAAAGAGTGTGTTGTTTGACTAGAGCTTTCAGGAGGGGTACTACGGTGGGAGCCCCTGGAGGAACAAAGAGGAGTTCAGAGGTCAAGGAGGGAACCCGAAAGAGGATCAAGTCTTCCTCATGGCCCTGGCCGAGGCGAAGAGCCCAGAGAGGAGGACCCAAAAGCGCTTCTGAACCCTAGCTTGGCCATCCAGCTGTCATGACTTGTGTGGTACTGCTGTTTGATGTCGGTGTCTACTGAACTATTCCAACAATGCTTGGGTGTGATCAGTGACTGGAAGAATAAACAGGAATAAACTGGCATCATTTGGACAGGAAGCACTGAGTGAATAGAAACTGTGTGAAGTATCATGAAGGGCCAGTAAATGCTGGGTAAAGTTACAAGGAACTCGGCGCATTTCTTTTTGCCTTTTTCCCTCCATCCCTTTCCCCTTCTGAGACACACAATCGCTGGATCCCAAAACTCCAAAGTAGAATGACAGCTCTAAGTCAAAAGCTGCAATTTCAGGCTTCTGTGGGCTCAATTTCGAGGAAAGGACGGGGACACACTTAAACATTAATGTAACTGATACAATCCAAGTGTTAGAACCCATTTCTTAATAGCTACACTTGGGAGAGTTTATCTATTCCTCTGAAAATGCATTCTTCACTAATGTGCTCTACTCATCCATACTAGTTCCTTGATTCCTTCCAGGTAGGCAGACTAACCTGGGTTCTTGTGAGGGTTTCTCTGCTGTGTGAAGGACAACTGCAGCGAGCTAAGATGTCAAGAAGACCTTGTGCCCCATCAGTGGTGGCTTCAGGGATGGGCCAGCACCTGCCTTAATGTTCCACCTGGAGCCCCGAGATTAGGAAATCTTATATGGGAGGTTGACATGAAAAGTAAGCAGGATGGAGAACTTTCAAGGTTGAATGTGCCTGAATGAGAGTCAGCTTTCTGACTTACAGTTCAATAAAGGGAGAAGGAAAATGTGCAACATTATTCTAGTAAGAGAGTTCTTTCTTGAAATGGTTGGTCTGCCTGAAACCTGAATTTCACCCAGGTTTTAAAGCACACTACGTATCAGTGATTCCCAACTTTAGGCTTGTAAGACTCCAGGGTTTCCTAGGGGAATCTAAGGATTTCTTTTGTTTTCTAAACAAAACTGGGTATTAGATCATTTCTTGAAAAAGATATACTCACATATTTGTACGTGTAAATATAGAATGCATATTTAAATGGATGTATATGCTCTAAGGAATTAAACAACGATGACCAGTTGGGTGTTAGAACTCTGAAAAGGTGGGAAATCACTGACCTGGATAATCCCTGGAAGCCAGGAAGGAAAATACAATAGTTCAGATTCTAAACCAGTTTAAACTTTGTCTCTGTGCAAATCACACACTCAGTGTTGGCCATTGGCGATGAAAACCCAACTGCTCACACCAAAAAAATTCTGAAGCCTGTGAGTCGTTGCTAACTGCTACTCCCGAGTACTCGTCTCATTCCTTACATCGATTTGACTCTGGTCTAGGAATAAAAGACAAAATACTTCTCTGCCAACAATGGATCTCCCTGGTCATCTTATTTTTTTCACATATTAGGCTTCTCCCCTTAAATCCTAAGTCTTCACTATCAACATTTTATATTTTAAAATATTGGGGAGTGGGTGATTGGCTTCGGTGGTTAAGAAGCCAATGGTCCATATCAGCGTGCCTGGGTGTGGTGCCCAACTCTGGCGCTTCACTTGGGCTTCCCACCAACGCAAATGTTGTGAGGCAGCAACAAAAGCTCAATCGGTGTTCCTAACATCTACATGGAAGTCCTGGATTGAATGCCTAGTTCCTAACTTTGGACCCAGTGGTTATGCTCATTTGGAGAACTGAACCAGTAGATAAATTCACTCTCTGTCTTTCAAATAAATTAAAGCACTGATAGATCTAAGTTCTATAGTAGTTGATGCTTTTTTTTTTTTTTTTGCAAACGCAACTAATTAACAGGTTAAGTAACAAGGCACCTTAAACGAAGACAGAGGATCTCTCTATGACAAGACTTATTTTTAGCCAGTAAATTGTATTCATTGGATGTATAAAAATAATTCAGCCTTTTCAGAATAATGAGCATCCTTGACTTATCTAAGTCCTAATTAGTGAGAATTAATGGAGTCTTAATGTAGTTTAGAATACCAAACATGCTGCAGCCCATTCTAAATCTTTAACATTTCAGTTTCACCTCTGAAAGAAGCCAAGAAGGCCATCTCCAAACACTTCTCTACAAACACTTTCTACTGAAGCCTTCAAAAGGACTCTTACAGTGACCTGAACTACTAGAAAGTCATGAAACCTAAGCATTCCCTAAGTATTCCTGCTTAGGAAATCACTGTAAAGTATGGTTTATGATCCTTGGAATTTTACCAAATCCTGCTGATAAAGACACACAGCTGCAGTTCTCCTCCTACTCCTTTGCCCAAGCGCTACAGACATGTCAGCGTTGGATATCTTAATAATTGGCTTCAGGCTCCTCAAGAGGAAACCCCACACTATCACCAAAGTTACATCGTGCCAAATAAAGATTCTGCAGGAGTACCAAAAGGCATGCCAGTGATTTCAGAGTATTCCTGATGCTTTGAACTACCCACCTTCCACTGCAAGGTTAGTGAACTCTTGCTGCGATGTGTCAGCTTGGGAGGGAAGGGACACTCGGGTGCACAGCTGTGGGTGGTGAAGCTGACCGGCTCGGAGCAGGATCCCTTCACGGAATTGTACATGGCATAGACCCTGAAAACAAGACAGAGACAGCATCAGTGAAGGGGGTTCAGAGTAGACAAGGGTCTCACTTCCTCTGGGCCGCAGTGCTGCCCAGAAACTTGACCTTGGTAGTTGTTGTTTTACATGAGCACCGTTATGTTTGCTCCTGTCTCTTGTCTGTTGGTTCCATTAATCCTCACCTGACTTTGCTCACCATTTGCGGGAGACAATCGCTCCCCTAAGGTATTTGTTTCACTGTGCTCTATTCAGTCCCATTTTAACCTAGGCAAAGGCTGCTGGCCAGAAAAGAATATTCTAAGGAAGAAAATCAACCTTCATCCCCAGCACGGTCTCTACATATACATTCTAAACACCCACAGACTAGACCGGTGAACTTTGGAGAAAGGCGATCAACAGAATAAGAGCTGAGTGAAAATGGGTAAGAAGTGGTAAGAGAGGTAGCAGAAGAGTACAAGCAACAGAGTGGATATCATATCTGATCTATTTACAACATTATAGATGCTTAGGTAGGAAATATGCGTGCTTCCCACACGGGAGCAAGCTTGCTACTGCCAAGTGCGTTTCTCTGATTCAACAACAGTATTCAGGTACAGTTTATCCATGTGAATATTTAACTCCTTCACATGGTGCCAAGATGAAAGATGTTCATTCTGTGCACTGAAACTCTTGGCTCAACACTGAACATATGTGCCTGATTTCTCCAGGCAAGCTGTGAAGAAAAAACATATAACGTGTTATAATACCACACTCTTTGCAAATAGCAAATGGGATTATGCAGATTTTTAAATCTTCCTTTCTAGTTTTCAATTTTTATACTGAGAATTTATTTTTTAAAATTGAAAACATTCCCTGCTGCCAAAAATGATGCAAGGATTAAGCTTTTCATAGAGTTGTCCAATACATACCCAACTCTCACTTCTTCCACCCACCCTCTCCTCTGTGCTGGGAGAGGACTCTTACTAACCTAGTTTTGACACAAGAATAATCAGAGAGAAATGAATTTTCCAAAGCCACAGAGTTAGGTGGGTTAGCAATATTCTTCTTTTTTTGGATTAGCTATATTCCACCCTCAAAATCTCAGCAGTTTCCTGTACTGCCTATTCTCTGCCCTATTCATCCTATAATTCTATTTCTTTAAACACCCACATTCCTTTTCTCCTCACGCTATCCAATGAACACATACAAATGGCTAAGCATGAAACATGGATAATAGGTCCCAACTATGCATCTGATTTGTAATGGCATTTCTCCTCTAAGACCGTCAGGAAATGTTCAAGGACATATGTAAAGCAGAAGTACTATCTTAAATGTCCAACTTCTACCGTCAGAGGCGAATGCAGATCTGACTTGCCTGCCTATTTACAGCAGGACACTGCATCACTGGCTGCAAATGATGTTCACTGTGAGGAAGTTCTCCATACCATCTCACATCAAGGATTGTTCCTTTTATACTCATTGTTAAGTAGGCACGTGATAGTATAAAACCAAAAGGAAGATCATTTGTATGTGTACAACAGGGCTCACTGGGAATAGGTTACTTAAAAAGAGTCATAGAATGGTCCAGACAAGGACAGGGATCCATCTTGAAGTTCAGTAGATCAAAATTCTAGAACCGCCTGTCAACTAAAGGATACAGGCCATTATCGGTAGAAACAGATAAACAGAAGCTATGCATTCCCAAGGACCATGTCACGACCTCCAGGTTCATTTCAGAGAACCAGACCCTGCAATCTGATTAAGTCTCGCCACTAAGTTATAGGAAACGCAGAGGCGAAGAGAACATATCAAGCAACACTAAGATTGGATGCAATCAGTGAAATGCACACTATGGGAAATCATAAAGGACAAAAACTGACTCCGTGAATATAACTTGCAAGGGAAGAAAAAAAGGCATGGGGAAAAAGTGATGCATTCAGAGAAATCTGAGATACACCATCAGACATCACACGCATAGGAGCTGTCAATTCCACTTGGGAAAAAAAATTTTTTCTGGCTGAAGAAATGGGAACAGTCTCTGGATTTTAAAAACATTAACAACTATTTGTCTGTTTAAAGCTGACATGTGATGATGATAATGTGGTTTATATATGAAATAATATGGGCCCAGTGCCACGGCTCAATGGTTAAATCCTTGCATTGGGATCTCATATGATTGCTGGTTCATGTCCCAGGTGCTCCAACTTTCTATCCAGCTCCCTGCTTGTGGCCTGGGAAAAGCAGTAGAGGATGGTCCAAAACCTTGGGACCCTACAACTGCAGGGAGACCCAGAAGAAGCTCCTGGGTCCTGGCTTCAGATCAGCTCAGCTCTGGCTATTGTGGCCACCTGGGGTGGGAATCAGTGGATGGATTATCTCTCTCTTTCTCTCTTGTCTTCTCTCTGTAAATTTGCCTTTCCAGTAAAAACAAATAAATTTTGTTTTAAAGAAATAATATAATTTCTGAACTCCTCAATGATGACTTGGGGAGCCAGGTGAGGGCATCAAGGAAATAAGTCTGGTGACGGGCAATGCACAGTTCATTAAATCACTGTCTACTTTTGGCTTTAACCATCTGTGAAATAAGCTACTCTCAAAAAATATGCTTTCTCTAATACATGGCTTACAAAATACTGAATATTAAAAAAATACTGGAACAATACAGTTGCTTTGGGATATGACTGTCACTTCCAGTCCATGTATCTACTCCTGCGGGACTGTGGTCTTTCTACTTCTTACTTGTTGAATATGATGCCTAGTACTCCCAGGCAAATTGGTTAAGCCTCAGAAAACTGACTGGATTACAATCATGTCTGCAAAAACTGCTGAAGAGAGGGAGGGATTTGGGGGAGGAATAAAGGAATGAGGGCAGTGTGGTTATCTTCTTGGAATTACACCTATGGGCTGCGTAAAGTCTCTTTATATAAATAAAAATTAAAATGTAAATCGGAAACTATGTAATTAAAAAATAAAAACGAGGTTACAACTGAAAAATGTCTGATAGCTGAAGATCGTACATTAAAAAATAAAAACAAAAACCAAAGAACCCTGGCTTCTATTGGAAACCACAGGTTCTACAACGCTCAGCATTCGTTCTTGCTATGTTGTAATGAGGCATAACTGAGGGTAGCTGTTTCTTTTCTTTCTTTTTAATTGTTCTTGGATATAGCTTAGTTGGCTCTGGGGTCTTCCTTCTCTCTCCCCCAAGAGCCCTCCCTTACCCTCTGTTCTGCCCTCTAGTCAGGCAGCCGGTTCTTTGAATGAGGCAGGGGATGTACAGCTTGCCAAAGTCACCACCATTCCCTATCGCGGACCAGGCACTGAGAGCGGCTCTACAAATGGCTTTTATGTAGCTCACTCTACCCACTTAGGTGTCCCACCTCCACATAGCAAGTTTCTCAGCTTGCAATCCCTGAGAATTTACCTATCAATGCAGAACTGCCCTTAGACAGATGAGGTCTAGATGTTCCCAAAAAGAATTGGCACCATCATCTGGCTAACACAGCAGATGAAATGACATACAAAGTATTTCCACACTGCAGCCAGTTTTCTGGAGAGAGGGAATGTTGGACTCAGTTCTTTGTTCTTTTTAATGGGATTCTTGGAGTCAGAAACCCATACCTCCTAGGCTAGACAGTCATGAGTGAGAGATTGCTAACAGTCGAGCTGGGAGGAGGACAGTGGGGATAAAAGTTAAAAACTGCATGGCACAAGCGGAAATCTGAGGTATCTAAATGAGTCAAATGCAGACATTCCCTTTCTCTTTAATCCTGAGAAGTGTCGGAGTTCATTCATAATAATAATAATCAGCCTTTTTTTTTTTAACACAGAAAGCAGTGTCAACAGGAAAACAAAATCTATTTCACAGGTAATATTCTGCACAGAGTAAAACTTGACATATTTCATGATCCCATATGCCAATTTTCTCCATAAAGAGAGACCAATTTTAGAATAACTGGCTTAGCATGTTAAGCACAACCTGTCGTGTGAACATCCCATTAGGCACTGGCTCAGATCTGGCTGACCCACTGCTGATCAGCTCTCTGATAATGTGTCTGGGGAAAGCAGTGGAGGACGGCACAAGGGCCTGGGCCCCTGCACCTGGATGGGAGTTCCATCTGACTTAGCCCTGGTCACTGCAGCCATGTGGGAGTGAACCAGACGTGCAAGACCTCTCCTGCTCTTTCTAATTCTGCTTTTCAACTAAGTTTTTAAAAAACTATCAGTTACATTTTTAAAAGTAACTTTTATAAAAAATGAAAATCCCTGAAAATGGTTTAAAAATTTAAATAATACTCGGATAAATGTTTTCACACAGTGCTGGCTGCTTCTCCCTAAATGTTGTTTTTGCTAAGTCCTCAAAGGAACTTATAGTTCTCTGAGTTAAGCACATCAACAAACTTTGGCTTTTTTTTTTCATTGATTCTATGAGAAGAAAACATTTTTTCTAATAGAACAAATCCTGTGATGGGTTTTCACATTTGTTTTGGCCTAAATACTTTCTAAATGCTTAGGAAACAGGTGCTCCAAAAATTTCAGAAATATCCCTCCAACTTCCTCCCACACATCTGTAACACAGAAGGAGCCATGATTTTTGGTCAAAAACATCTATTTCATAATTATACACAGTACTAGTCAACCATATTATTGAAAATTCTTCATCACAATTTTTCTGGGAAATGTCATTCTATGATATCATCTCTAGGCAATTTTTTTTTTGGCCAAATTGTTTGTGGTGTTGACTGGAAAAGTTCTTCAAATGCTGTAATGAAATTGCTGTCTACTCGACCACACAAATTCCTGATTATCTTATCAATAAAACATAATTTTTAGATTTCTATAGTAAAATTATTTCAAAGCCAATATTAATCATAAAATTATCAATTAAAACACACTTACATGGGAAATGCATAGACAATATGCATTTGCAAAGATACAAATTTATCTGTACAAATAAATGTGTGTATATATATATATTCATTTAAAGATGTATTTATTTTTGCTGGACAGCTACTCCCACTGGAGAGCCTGAG